CGCGCGCGTCGTCGTGTGTGTGTGTGTGTGTGTGTGTGTGTGTGTGTGTGTGTGTGTGTGTGTGTGTGTGTGTGTGTGTGTGTGTGTGTGTGTGTGTGTGTGTGTGTGTGTGTGTGTGTGTGTGTGTGTGTGTGTGTGTGTGTGTGTGTGTGTGTGTGTGTGTGTGTGTGTGTGTGTGTGTGTGTGTGTATGGTGTGTATGTATGTAAACCTCTTATAACTTTTGAACGGCTCGACCGATTGGATCGAAATAGGTGACGATCCAAAGAGTATCATTGCCATTAAATTTCGTGACAAATTTGAATCGATTCGGTTCGCTAGATTTTGAGAAATCTCAAAAATAAAATTTTCAAAAAATCGTTTTTTTGGAATAACTTCTAAACGGCTTCACCGATCAATTCCAAAAACTAATCCGCTCTCAAGTTTGAAAAACCAGGTCGATTGCCACCAGTCCCGTCAAAATCGGTTGATTCGTTCAAGAGTTATCGAAAACGAAAAATTTCGAAAAAAGTGTTTTTTTTTTTTTTTTCAAATAACTTCGACATTTCTCTTTGGATCGTTTTTGATGAAATAGAATAATTATTAGAGCCCAAAATACCACGTCGATTACCACCAAGAACGTGAAAATCGGTTAATTACTTCGTGAGTTATCGTTGTCGAAAAAATTCGGGAAAAGTGAACTTTTCGAATTTCTCTAATATTTTCGGTTCGATCAGTTTGTGTTTAAAAGTATATTATAGAATTCGAAAAACTTCGTCAAATGTTGCAAACCGCGTGAAAAACAGTTCATTCGTTCAGAAATTATTGCAGTTTGAAAATTCAAAAAATACTGTTTTATCAAACTCCTATCAGACTCTTGAGCTCGAAGAGCTAACTCTATGAGTTCAGAGAGCTCGAAATAACATACAAATTATATTTTTGAGCTCAAAAACGTCATAAGTGCAATTTTAAACGCTTAGATATGGAATTAGCGGGAAGTTGCAGGGATATCCATATATATGGCCTTTAGGGTCAATCGATTTCAAGATTTTTTTTTTTTAATATTTCTAATTATAATTTGGAAAAAGCGTATAGTTAGAATACGCCCTTTCGGCTGCACCATTTTTTAACTTCCGGCTAAGAAAAATTAAAAATTTTTTTAAATTCGGGAAGTTATTGCGCGGAGTTGTATATTCTGAAACAATTACCAAAAAATCGACCAAAAATTTAATCATAACTTACCTCTAAATAATTATTAAAAATAACTTATATCACCAAAAAAATAAAGATATACTTTTTCGATGCAAGTTATTTTTCTTCAATTCTCAATTTCATCGGTTTCAAAAATAAGGAACAATGTGTGGTTTCTTCAATCGGGTTCCTGTTTCCTATGATAACTTTTTTTATTTTTCGCATACGAAACGAAACTGAGAGAAAATGATCACGACGTCATCCAATTTATTGTCCGAGACAGATAGAACAAATTTGTCCACTGAAGAAAGAAATAGAGACGCTTACAGCATGAGAAATTTCGACATTCACAGTGTAAGTAAGTACTAGTATAAGTAATACACGAAGAAAGACGATACATTATTTTTGTTACATATAATGCGTCTATTTTAATGTTAATAAAAATTTTATGTAGGCCAAAATTCATTAATGAAATGTGCTTTGCTTTTAACTTGTCAAAGTCAAGTTATTTTCCGAATTTAAATTCATGATCACTTTTACTTTTTTAACTTCCCGCTAAGAAAATTGAAAATTTTCAAAAATCGGAAAGTTATTGTTTTTACTAAAACTAGAAAAAAAATTAATTATACAATTAATCATGAAGAACCAAATAATTCATCCAAAACTCAAATGCGCACACGCAGACTAGGGCTATTTTGAACGAGCAAAATACTTTTAAGCGCGAAAAAACAATATATTCTAAAAAATTAATTCATTATTAATTATTAATTAAAATAAAAATAAGCATACAATAAAACAATTTCAATGTTTTCTTAAGACTATTGTTGCCCAAACCTTATTTTTAACTTGTGGAACATATTAATTAAGAGTAAATAAGCTTGTATACACTAATAAAAAAAATTAACTCGATTTAAGAAATAAAAACTCTTGAAAATAGTGTTTTTGTTTCAAGATTTTTGTTCTTAAATCAAATTAATTTTTTATGAGTGTGATAAAAAAAACTCAAATAAAGAAAAAATTTCTTAAGAATAAAATAAAATTGAAATATTTTAATTTTATTCAATGGATTAATTTTGCACCATATTAAAGAATTTTAATATTCAATGGCCGCAGCATATTAATATCACAACAGTAAAATGAGTAAAAAAACGAATCAACGACGTTTATAAACAAATGTTTGTCATTAGAGAGAGAAAGCTTTTTCTCTTGTCATTATATATCATTGTTCTATAATATATGACACGAGATGGAGCATTCATAGCATTTTATACTCGTTGAAATCAGCTGACTTTCAAGTAGTCCAAAGTAATCTAACAGAACTAGACAATTAAGTTGAATTTTATCGTCAATCGCCTTTTTAAATTTTAACTACAATTAAAAACTAATAAATTATCTTCGATTGTGACTATAAACTTCATTAATATTATTAACTTTAAAAATATAAAAAATTTAAACATGAGTCTTGACGATTTTTATGCTGTCGCTCTTGACCTTGTCAAGCAATCCGGTGCGGTAAGTCTTGATGTTCATTTTTTCCAATTAAATTAAAAATACTTTTTTGATAAAAAATAATGATTACAATAATAATAAATTCACTATTACAGATTATTCGAGACAGGATTAACAGGCCAAAAGATGTAATGATTAAATCATGTGACGTTGACCTTGTCACTGAGTCCGATCAGCAGGTAGAAAAACTTTTTATGGATGGAATCACCGCTAAATTCCCAGATCACAGGTATTTCATTTAAACATGTGCTACAACGTTGTACTTATTGCAGTCAATTACTTTCAATTAAATATAAAAATAATAAAACATTTTATTACGTCAATCTATCAGATTTATTGGAGAAGAAACTACAAGTTCCGGTGAAAAAGTTCAATTGACAGATGCCCCTACATGGGTAATAGATCCGATTGATGGTACTATGAACTTTGTCCATGGTCTTCCTCATACGTGCATATCAGTCGCCCTGTTAATAAATAAAATCACTGAGATTGGACTAGTTTATAATCCTATTCTCGAACAGTTTTTCACAGCTCGTAAAGGTCAAGGGGCTTTCATGAATGGTAATCCTATCAAAGTTTCAGGCGAGAAAGGTAATATTTACTCGTTAATCTATTTATTAATTTTTATTATGTATTACGCAATAGGTAGATAAATCAATAATTGTTTGCAAGTTAAAATCGTCCTATTTCTGGTTATTAAAAAAAAATATCATCAATTCTTTTTAAACATCAACTTAAAAAAAAAATTTAACATTTAAAAAGTCAACTTTTTGATTTTTTTACGTTTGTAAAAATCACAAAAATTTTGAAAATTGACATGTAAAGAAATTTTGTTCTTCAACTTATAGAATACAATGAAATGCTAAAAATTGGTACACTTATTTAAATAAATTTTATAAAGGATTTTCAACGAACATTAAAAGCTTCAAATCTAATTGAAAAATTTATTTCTGACTATTCTAAGATGATTTCCACTTTTAAACTATTACCAAAAATAGTAATTAATTAATGATATTTTCACAGAACTCAAAAAAGCTTTAGTTATGGTGGAATTGGGCACAAGCAGAGATCCAGAAAAAATGAAGATAGTTATGGAAAATTTAAAAATATTAACATCCAAAGTTCACGGGTAATTTAATAATATAATATATATGTATATCGATGATTGATACGTACGAAACGAGGCTAATTTATTATGATTTAGAGTACGAGCATTAGGATCAGCAGCGTTGAATATGTGCATGGTAGCTTTAGGTGGAGCGGATGCTAATTTTGAATTTGGGATTCACATATGGGATTTCGCAGCAGGCGATTTGATCGTTCGTGAAGCTGGTGGCTGTTGTATTGATCCATCCGGTATTGCTATTAATTTACTTTTAATAATGATTCATTTTGTAATTATGAGATCAATACTGTAATTTAAATTGTAATTTTTTAGGAGGTGAATTGGATCTTTTATCACGAAGAGTACTGTGTGCATCATCGCAAGAATTAGCCAATGAGATTTCAAACTTATTAATTCAATACTTTCCGGAACGTGATTAAGAATTGAAGAAAAAAAAAAAATTAAAATCAAAGTATTTATTAATATTGAAAACGAGTAAATTACATGTAATAAAATGTTGAAAATTTTAATTTATCTATACGACCAAAAAAACTTTAACATGTGTTGTTGTGATAATTAAAGCATTTATGGGATTTACAAGAGAAACAGCTAGAATTTTTATTGTTAATTTAAAACTTAATTTATTCTATTAGTTGTACTTTATTTATAATAATTCAGTAAATTAGTTCCATTGACGATAAATAAAAATATGTATAATTACACTTTCAATAATTCCATTAAATTTATACAGATTTCTTGAATCATTAAATGATTATGTCATTTTTCTTCCGTAATATGTTCTTGAATCTGAAAACTCATAATTATTATAGTTATTTTATATTCACTAATAAGTATTCAGACGTAATCTGCAAATCACGGTAAAAAAATTCATCTTGTTACATGCTTTAATAAAATGACTTCCAAATTACGTCCGATTAAAAAAAAAAAAAAAAATTTGTTTATTTATAAAAAAGTCTAAATTAAAAAATTAAAAATACTGTCACCTTACCTGTTAATAACAATACTTACTAAAATTATTTGGAAATATAAACTGACTAGTTATGCGTTTTCCGAAGGACTCGTTTCTCACTTGGAATGGTATCAGGAGTTAAGTGTACGCTTGAATCTTGTTCCACCAGAGAAGAGATTCCACCAGTTGAGTTCTTAATCTTGATGAGAATTCTTCATTCATTTCCTCCCTTACAGGGAGGGCTACAAGTGAAAACATTACCAAACGGCCAATTAGAAAAATTACATCAAAATCACCAATTTTTTGTCTTTCAATTTTTATTCATTATTAATATTATTATTATTATTGTTTTTTTTTTTTTTTTTTATTATTATTATTATTTTAGAATATTATTGGATATTAGCTCTATCTTAATCAACTATAATTAATGTGAAATACTATTTTAAAAATAAAGGAAACTAAAAATTTGTTTCCTAAATAGTTTATCTTTTTGAATAGATAATATTAGTCAATCTTCTCGATTTATTATCCCCACGTTTAAACTTTTATTATACCCTAATTTATGATACGCGATATATTTCTTGTTCACTAAAAAAATATTGTAAAATATCGAATACTGGGGTACGATAAATATCCCATAAGGCAGGCTCCATGAATACCTTGCAACGGGAACGGCGCTATTGGCCCTCACCAGCTCCACCAATGGTCATTGAAAAATTAATTGAAGAGTGATCTGAAACATAAGCAGTCTAGTACAATCTTGCTTTTAAGCAATTAAGTAACGTTATAGGAATTAGGTTGTTTTTCAGGAAGTTATTTTTTAACAGCTAGGATATTCTTTGAACAATACTCGTTTTGTTTTTGTACGCGATAATAACATTTTTTTATTACATCTGTACTGAAAAATTTTTAATTCTAGACATTCTTATTAAAGCAAAAGTCATATTTATTGGAATAGATAAGTTTGAAATTTCTAGAAACAGTACTGAATATCCAAACTGTATTATTAGTTGACATAATTGTTTTGTTAAAAAATATTAACTTAAAAATAAAAAAAAAAAAAAAAAAACTTATTGAGCTATGTACTTCCTAAACCTTTTCTGTTATCAATCATTCAGACATTTGTTGATTTATTTAAACTACAGTCCTATTTACTATACAATTTTATTTTGAATCGTTCATACACCAATTTATTTTATTAATTTATGTTATTATTCGTATTTCTTTTTATTTTCAATAGAAATAAAAATGAAAACTAATAATCCATGATTGATGAATACGTAAAAATATTTATGATATTAATGGTCGATTGTTTATACGCGTATTCATTTCAAGTAGAGCATAAATTTAATTGCCATTTACTTATTATTTTTTCTTTTCTATTTTCGTTGATTATCTGTTATGTATATATAAATAACCGAATTGATAGAAACAAAAAAAGTAAGATTATAAGTATTAATTAATTTACAAACAATTACTAAATATACAATTATAATTTTACTGTGATAAATTACTAAAAATTCATTTAAATTGATTGAGTTGGTGCAAGTGAGATAGTGTAATTATGATGAAACTATAAAAATTATCATTTTCATCAGATTTAGTTGTCTTTGAGTAAAAAAAATGTATGCTCATCGATTGTCTTAAATAACTTAAAAAATTACAACTCACTCTTATACTTTCTACATCAATTTTTTTTCCAATACTAACTCTTAGTAATTCACTATAAAATACAACTGATGAAAAATTATGTTGCATAATTATTTTTATAAAAAATTGAACGTTTGATTGAAGCTTTTTTGCTATTTCTGATAATTTGAGATGCAGAAAATATTATTGTAGTGTTTATAGTTCTCAATATTTTACCAGGTTATATTATGTGTACCCCACTTTCGATTATAAGTCTGATCCCAATAATATTTTCTCACCTCAGATTTTGCAAAAAAAGTAATGATGCTTTTCAAAATAAAACGTTCAAAATGTACAAAATTTACGTTACATCTCAGTAAGACAGACTTGATGTTTATAAGGTCCCCGAAAATTGGGGTTACCTAATTTTTTTCTTGTATAAACGGATGAGACAGTGCATCCTTCACTTTCATTCTTTTGGTGTGATCCAATGTTATTATGCGCTCTAGAAGGTCCTTTAGTTGATTGACCGGGCTGACCCTACTTTTTTGCTCAGCAGATAACGAAGTTCCACCAAGCTCTGCCCCAAGATCCCGCGTTGGAGGAATGGTTGACATAACGACAACTTTTTCCTGAAATTTAACAAAAAGCATTATGATAATTTTATATTTTTTAAATTTCTTTCATTCAAATTCAACAGATTAAACCAGGATTTTTTTTAGTATAAACAGCTAATTCTAAATAAAAAGTAGTTAAATGATAAAAAAAATGAATTGACGGATGAAATAATACTAACCTTCCCGTAAAACAATAACAGAAATTAATAATTTGGGGTGTAAATATGGTGATAAATATTATACACATCATAGAGGAAAGTAGGATACCTTAATCTGAGTATTTGCAACCCTCGCTGTCAACTTGGTAGGCAATTTTACACGCGAAATATCCTCCATTCCTCTCAAAATGTATAATACGTTTTGAGATCGAAACAGATAAAACAATTATCCAACAGTATCATTATTAATTAAATTATTACTACAAGATTGATATGTTATAGTTGTAAAAATTATACGTAGCCAAACCTAATCCAATTCTTAACATAAAACGCCAATTGTCCAGGTGTAATATCCAAATAACATTATTATTATAAAACCAAAAAATGATGGAAATTTTTTTTTCGATTATTCCTTAAAAACTAATTCAAACTCAATGATTGGGAATGATTTAGAAACAATAAATAAATTTCTTACCCTTTCAGTAACTTTGTCAACTTCATGATATAGAAAATTGCAATTAGCATCAAAGTGTTGGTCTTTGAATGCCCCTTTTCTTATTAATTTGTTAGGCATTTTGCCCTTGAGATCCATGAAAAATTTTAACATTTGATTATTTGTTTTGCCAGAAAACATAATTTTGCCAGTATACAATTCATATATCGTACATCCAACTGACCACATGTCAATAGCACAATCATATTTTATTCCAAGAACTAAAACATAAAACTCGTTAGCAATTAATCAACATAAATTAGCAAAAGTTTCCTATTTATCAACAATATATATTAGTTAATAAAAAGTAAATAATTTCAATTATATTTCAATAAATTATAAAAAATAAAAACTTACTTATTTCCGGGGCACGATAAAATCTTGAAACAAGATATGGTGTATTTTCGTTTTCATGTGCATAACATGCCGATCCAAAATCACATAATTTTAATACAATTTTATTTTCACTGACTAGAATATTGTCTGGTTTTATATCACCATGTAAAATATTTGATTTACTTAATAGTTTTAAGGCAAGAAACAATTGTCGTGAGTACGAACGCACTGCTTTAACATGGAGACCTACATCTTTGCCATATTTTTTCAAAACCTATAAAAATAAAAAAATAAAACATTTATTAAACCCTGGCTCAAAAATATTTAATTTTAATTAAATCACTAACCTCTCTTAAATTCATTGAAAGAGGCTCGAAAACCATGCACAAGTGATTTTTATGAAAGAAGTGTCGATATAATCTCAAACAGTGAAAACGGTCTTCTGAATCCTCATCATTCAGCTTCCGGAGAATTTCAAGTTCCTTAAGACCTGTCCTATGCCTGTGATATTAACATATATAATATTAATTAGAAACATGTACAAATAAAATAAAAGTAAATAGAAAATGAATTTTCAATAAAAAAAAAAAACTCACATTATTTCATTGTTTCTTATAATTTTGACAGCAACATCCATACCTCCTCGTGTGGTATCCCTAGCTCTAACGACGTTACTGAAAACTCCTTGACCAGTATATCCATAGACGGTGTATCGGCTATCAAGAGTCTCACCAATGCGCACACTAATGATAATGAATATATATATATATATATCGTATATTAATAATTGGTCTATTGAAATTTTAATAAATTAATAAATCTGCTCATTTTTATAAAGTTTGCGATAAGCGAAATATCTAAATGGAAATAAAGAAAGATAATTTTATAATTAAGATTAAATTTGTATACTTTTAAAAATTGAATACTCCAAAATTTGTGCAGCAAAATTTAAATCATAGCTATAGTATGAATACCTATTTCAATTATCATAGAAAAATTAATTTTCATTGTTAGATAATTAATCTTTCATATTTTTATTTAACATATATAATATTTGAACCTGTATTAGAAAATAAAATGAATAATAGCAGTAAATATTAATTACCGGTAATATCCTTCAGCATCATCCCAGTTATCAGTTAAGCTTGGATTTTCATGACCACCCACTCGATTGCCTTCAACAGTTGGACTCTATAAAAAATATTGATTAACTGTAGATTAACACAAAAATTACTGTAAAAAAAAACTCTGCACTACAAGTTCATGAAAACATGGAAAGCTTGCGAGCCATTCTGGTAGGATTAAAGTATTGAGAATGGAAGCCAGAAAAATTTCTGGCAAAAACCTCTTGATAAAGATCCAACAACTAATCGAAGGAAAATTCGAGGTAGACCTTGAGTGTGCTGCGAAAGACATGCTGAGAGGAGGCTCACCAATTGAAGAACTCTGCACTTACTTCGAAAAAATTGTAGATCAAAGCAAATTTGGTAAGGCAGGAAGGAGGTGAACCAAAGGAAGGAGGGGAAGAGGAAACTTTAGAGTAAAGTGAAATGACATTAAAGTGATATAAGAAGTAAAATAAATATGCTATATATTGATTCATGTTAGCATTAAGAGTAACTAATGTAAGTTTGACTTGAATTGAGGAAGAAAAAGTATTAAAGTTTTTATGTAAAAACTGTACTTCAGAGATAAATGATTACTATATAAAAAAAAAAATACTCACATTAAAATCTCCTACATTGTCAACATCAGCAAACATATCCCATTCACTAGCTTTTTTAACATTAATCTTATCATCATTTTTTTCATTTGTCTTAACTTCTTCTTGATTTTCCGATTTTTTCTTTGTTGGTGGTTCATCAAATCTTGATTTTCTTTTCTTAGCCAACAGTTGTAACTTGTTTTGATCCGGTAACGGCGGAGTATGACTTTCCGAATTCGAATCGCTGTTATTTACTGCTTCTACATTCTTTGAAGACGAACTCAATTGTTCGGTACTAACGGGGTTATCATTTACAATAACATCTGTAGACATATTTGAATCCTCAGTTGGCCCACCTAATCGTTTAAGTAATTCTTCTCTTTGTTTTCTCCGCCTTTCAATAATAGTTTCTTCATCTTCCTCCTCTTCAATATCAATATCCTTAAGATCATCTTCACTAGAGCTATCAGATCTCTCAACTTTCAAGCCTTCAGAAAGCGAATCTTTGTATTTATCACCTCGTTCACGCTTACCATTTTTTTCTCGATCTCTGTCATTTCGTCCATGTCTGTCTCGATCTCTACGATTTCGAGACAATGATCTTGATCGCCGATACCTATCATTTCGGTCTCTATCATTCCTATATCGCGCGGGACTTCGTGATCTTCTAGATCGTTCGCAAGTTTTATCATGATTCCGCGAGTCTCGATTACTTGCTGTATCTCGATTAGACGTATAACGATCTCTATTATTATGTTTATCCCAGTTGTCTCCTTTGTCTCGACTACTATGACCATCTTTACTTACTACTGGCTCTCGACTCCGTGCATCTCTATCTCTACCTGAATGACAATTTCGATTTTCTGCTGGCTTTAAATTTTTAGAATTTCCTTTCATATCTCGATTATTAGAATCATTTCGTGATTTAGACGAACGATAATCTTCACGTTTCCGTTCATCTTCTTTAATATCGTGATCACGTTTTCGTAATTCATCTCGTTTCCCGACCTCTTTACGACGATCTTCATCTATACGTTTCCTTAGATCGTCTTTTCGAGTTACCTCTTTTTTTTCTATTACTTTTCGCAATTTATCAGATTTCTTTGATTCGTCATTATGTTTAGTTGTCTCATCACGCCTTCTATCTCCTTCTTTTCGTTTTTCACCTACATCCTGCTTAGATTTTTTAACACGAGTTATATCTGTTACAATTCGGTCTGTTGATTTAATATTTTTCTTACGTTCTCTACTCCCAGATCTACTTCGGTGGCGTTTTTGTTTAGCAATAATATCATCACCACTGTCATCCTCTACAAGGATAACGTCAGGGGTTTTCTTTGTTATTTCTTCACGATTAAACCTTTTATCATCTTTTTCTGATTCATCCGAAAGATATTGCACTAAACATGCTTGAAGTCGTTCCTAAAATTTTAAATTGGTTATTGTTCTGACTTTTTTTTTCTAATTTAAAATTTAAAATAATTTATTAAATTTAAAATAATAAACTACTAATGCCGTCTATATAGCAATACGTTTTGATGCTAAGATCCATATATGGGTGATTCTCTGTAAGGATGTTTTTTGCTGTCCCAGGAATTTTTTTATTAGAAAAATTGTTATTTTGTTACTAAAATGAATTTATTACGAAAGTAAAAATACATTTCTATTTGGAGCATTGAAAACTAAAATGAAATAAATTTTGGTTTTTTTGCTATAAATTCGTAAACCACCGAAATAACAGTCCCATTCTCAAAATTAAAACTTTAAGATTAAATTTTAAGTTATTCGTCCATAATGTTTATAAACTTAATTAGTTAACTAACAATCTTCTTCAATAAAAAGTACCGAAAATTAATTTGTTTCATTAAATTCATTAAACCAAAGTTTGTCCTAGGCATTTTAAAAACAGTCCCCTGCCAGAAATTCAAAGCCAAAAAAAAAATCTACCGTGTTATTTTACCTTTTGTAAGGTTTATAAGGACCTAACTAGTCTTGAGTTAGTAACTGTAGGGCTGTTAGCGCTTTATCGCCATTTTATTTAGTGTTAAAGCACCGTTTGTGCTGGAAATATGTGTCTGGGCCACTTCAAAACTCAGTCCCCTGACAACTATTTTTATTTATAATTTATTTATAAAATTGGATTCCTAAGTCTTAATATCATTCTAATTAATGTAAACATTTATTGAGAACTTGAAAAGTTGAATGCATTGAAATAGTTTGCTTGATTTTTCCCAATTTGATTTAAATAGTTTGCTTGATTTTTCAAAAAAAAAAAAAAAAAAAAACAGTCCCCTGTCATGTTATATTGCAAAAAACACACAAATATCGAAAAAACAAAAATTAATTTGGTTGTTTATTTGTTATCATTAAGCTGATAGTTTTGTAGCCCTTGTTAATTTTTTTTCTAATAAAATCAAAAATAATTTGGTCGGACAATTTTGTACAGATTTAAGACGTCCTTACAGAGAATCACCCATATACATCAAAATTGCGGAAAAGAAATCTTAATGAAACTACTGACACCGCTTTTAAATAAAATTCAACGATTAAATAGTAAAGTAAATCATGCAAAGAGCTGATAATTTGTCTTGAATTTTTATATATACGTGATCGTGTTTACGTTATTTTAATCAAGTCATATTGCTATTAACTATATTGGCAGAAACTTTTTTTATATAAGTAATGAAAAAAATTAATTAATACGGAAAACTTGACATACTTTTTGTTTCATTAGCTCCTCTAGATCGACATCATCTTCGATAATGGTGCAGTCTACTTCATCTGAATCTAAATCAACTAGATTTTCACCTTCACTTTCGGTAGACGGAATTTCCATTACGGAGTTAACAACTTTACCATTTATACCTGATTCTTTAATATCATTTTTTACAGGAACTTTCTCTCCTGCGATGCCATTATTTTCTACTTCTTTATCTTTTTGAAGCTTTTTGTGTTTCTTATGTTTTTTTCTGTAATTTAAATAATAAATAATAAATTAAAAAAAATATCCTTTTCTGTTTTTGTAACAAAATTGATAAATAATTTAATATCTGACAATTTTTTTCTAATTATTTATAATTAATAAGCAAGTAGAATTTTCCGAGTAATATTTTTACTGTATGTATTTTAATTGACAAACAAAAAAATTGTCAGATTTCCGTTGTAATATATATCTTAATTTTACCTGTCTTGTCGATCAACTTTTACGTCTATTTTTTCCTTGTCTACAATCTTATCTTTTTTATGTTTGTGGTGTTTATGTTTTCTTTTTTTTTTCTTTTTCTGTTCAAACACATCAGCATGTTCATCTATGCTGTGAATATCTTGCTTGGAGTCAATATACTCCAAATCGGATGATCTAAAACAACAAAATTAGTTATCAGCACAAGCGATAGATTTTTTTCAATTATGCAATATCAATAATAAAAATAAAACATAAAGTATAAATAGTTGAAAAATAATCTTAAAATTTTGATAATGAAAACACAGTTAGTTAACATAAACAATAACATTTAAAAAAGCAAAATGAGTTTTTTTTTATTTAACGTATCAACTTCATTCATATTTTACACAGATAAAATAAAATTAAAAAATTTTAACACTTACCCCATTTTGTATAAGCTGAACTTTAATAAAAATATGTATTTTAATATAAACAAAAATATGTATGTTCCTACACTCAAAAACTACGATATCAACGTAATACTCAAAACCATCAATAACCCGCCATCTTGTTATACTTACAGTACACGTATAAAAAGATACTTATTTTGCTTTTATACTCATTTACGAAAGACCATCGGCCATACTGAAAAAGAAAGATCCGTTATGGAGAGTGAGAAAGCGTGTGGATTTAAATTTAGTTTTTCGGTCTATCGTAGATGTCACCTGTGTCAAATCACGCTTAACAGAAATCTTTTTTACAGAGTGAGTAATGAATAATGAATAATAATAATATAAAACTTACTAAAACATTCATGATTTTTCTGATTTTTCTGATTTTTCTGATTTTTCTGATTTTTCTGATTTTTCTAAAAGATAAATTATGATAAAGGAATTTTTAGAAAAAAACCCACCTGTAAAAATTGTAAAAAACTACATTATATTGAAATCAGCAGGCGTTTGACACATTTTTAATTTTTTTCATTAATTAAATTATAACTAAAAAAATATCTTTAGAAAATTGCACTTGTGTTTTTTAAATCTTCGAGCTGTGGAATTTTTATTATAATTTTTTTTCAATAATTTTTCTAATAACAAAAGGCATAAAAATTTTTAGATATTTGCTAATTTCATTTTTGTAAAAACTACAGATGTAAATTCTTGACTACAACTGTTGAGTACTAATTTATTTGTTAATTTAAAAAAAAAAAAATAAAAAATTTATCAGATCTGTTGATTTAAGTGTCAGAAAAATTTTTTAATTTGCGGAGTAATAATGTATAAATAATTATTTGAGAAATTAAATTACTGATTGCTTATTTTTAAAACTTTTTGTTAAGTAAATTTGAAAACTTTCAAAATTGTAAGTATTATTCATTTATGATGATTGCTATTATGCTTATTTTAAAATTCAATACTATATATTATTTATTTTAAAAATTTATTTTTTAAAGCTTATTTGAATATTCATATATGAATATTAAGAATCAATAAAATTGATTAATTTTTTAAATATTAATATACTGAAAAACTTTTTGAATAATAAAAATCTGAGTATAATTATCTTTTCTATCAGAATAATTTTAAAATAACAGTTAAATATAACCGACGATATTGTAGGTATATAAGAATTTTAAACAATTACATCTCAATTCATACTCTTAAATTAAAGGATCTAGTGACGAAGAAGAAGCAGGTTTAAAAAAATCCTAAGAACAAACAAATTTTATGCGATTAAGTATCGTACTGAATCATAAAATAATTGATTAAATACCTAAATTTACTTAAAAACCTTCAAATTTTTTAATTGCCGATCGTAAATTTCAAACAATTAGAACCATAGCGTGTTTTTTACCTGCAAAACTCTTTGCCCACTTTCAATGTATGAAAATGCTTTTAAGTTGAGATAATGATAATAACGAATATATATTAGCGCCGTTACCGATAAGATTATTTAGTTGAATATACATGTATCTTACTTTACTGAAAAGAAATTAGAAGAAAATATAATAATTGCCACTTAAGTAAATGTACTCAATAAGCCAGAATGTTTCAGCAATCAAAAGTTTCTTATAATTTTTACCGTAATTAATTATGATCCCTCTGATGTACTTATTATTTATAAAAACATTATAATAGATAAAGGTGTTTTACATTCTGTAAATTTATGAAACAAAAAAAATACCAATACTTAGTTATCTTATTGTTACTATTTTGTTGATTAATACAGAAAAATTATATTTTTCAGTAAATTAAACACTTTGATAAAATATTTTGGAGAAAATTTCTTTTTTAGGGTGATTAATATTTCGGAGACAAAGAAAAAGTAATCTTCCCAAGCGACACAGAAAATTTCTTGGTAATGTTTTATTGAATTTAAGTTGACAATCGTTAATTTTATTTGACTTCTTGCTGAATATAATTTTCCAAAAATTAAAATTTTTTTAGCAACGCTTGGATTAATTTATTCATTAGTAAAAACATTAATCATAAAACAAAAAGTATATGTGATAAATTTTTAAGTTATTTTTGTTAAAAAGTAAATTAAATAAAAATTTGCTCATATAAAATTTTTAAAAACTGTAGTAACAGTGCAAATTTAGGATAAAGTTTTTTTATAAAAATTTATTTTTTAAAAGCTACAAAAAATATTAGTTTTCTGCTAATTTTACTCTTCTGATCAATTGTTTTGATTATTATTATTATTATTATTTTAAGAGTGAGACGGAAACAATAATTTATCAGCAAGCATGTGTCGCCGCCAATAGAGTTGACGAAGTACCACCGAGTCAGTGTCAGACGAGAGCAAGATGGCCGTAAAGTGGTGACGGGTAGTGGAATGTCTGGCTGTAAAATTAGTGATTTTCCGAAATTGCGGATGGCCTAGCGATGGCCGAATTTAACATCGACATCGGCAAACTTCCCGAGGATGTACGGGAGAAGCTTGCAGAATTAGAGCTTGAACTTTCCGAAGGTAAATTATATTTTCATAATAATCTGTCGTCCCCTTGTACTGAGATATAGAAGGTAACCCTTCTGACTCACCCTATTTGAATCTCCGTAGACGTAAAGGCACTCTTGTTGATAATCGATAATTTTTTTATTCCTTTTACTTTTTTAGTGCCTCGAATAATTTCCTAAAACAGTTGCGCTGTTAATAATCCATAGCTTGTCGTAATGATAAAAACCTTAATTAATAGGATAAATGGAGCGACCAGTTGGTGAAAATAAATGTCTCTGATAGCTACGACAAATAAATTGTTCATCTGACCGCACCTCCTAGTTTAAATTCAATTTAAATTTTATTCTAATTATTATTTTCATTTTAATCATTTTCTTTACAAATTTTTTCATTCTAATAAGGTCAGGGTATTATATAAAAACTATGATTATCATTAATGTTATTTATTATTTATCAAGAGTTAAGTAACTCAATCCCTGTTTATAATTTAATGTTTAAACCGAGTAGAATAATTCAATTAAGAAGATATTGTGGTGCTTAAATAGCACGATATTTAATGATTGTATGTATTTATATTAATTTAGTTTCATCTCATTGCTGACACTTCTCTCGAGTCTCGAGTTCTCAGTGTTATTCGGAAAACAGTCATCCTGACAATTATACTCTTTTACATTTGCGTACACATAAACTCATGACTAAGACACGATCATAACCGGTTTTTTTTATTTTAATTCAAATTACTATATTTGCTTATTTTACTTATATTTAAATTAAATTATATATTTTACATCCTGTATATACATAGTAAAATTATAGAATTCAAACATCTAATAATACTGAAATTAATATCAGTATGAAATGTATATGATACTGAAGTTATTAACAAATATCTGATAATTTTTAATCATTTTTCAACAAATAAATTATAGTAAAAAATTTCGTATAATAATAATTAGCAGAAAATTAATTGTCTGCTAAATAAAATTTATTTTAAATTTAGAAATAACTTACTTAGTTGGAAGATAAAAATATAAAAAATGAAATTTCAAATTTTCAAAAACTCTTTTTCTGTAAATTAAAAACTATTTTTTACTTAAATCATTGAGTTTAAAATTACTTTGAAATTTTTTAAATATTAGCTGTCATTTTACACTCATAAATTTGACATTTGATCAATTTTAGCAATTTTTCAACAAATCAATTATGACTAAAAAATTGCGAGTTTATATATTGTAAAAAAATCATGAATTAACTTTTTTTTTAATAATTTATTACTACTAATTTATCTGTTGAATTAAACCAAAAAATTATCAGATCTCTTTTGATACCAGTACCATAAATTTCTGAATATTTTTTTTTTTTTTATATAAAACTATAATGAATTTCTTTATCTTTAGTATTATACGAACGAGTGATTGAACTTTTAAAATTATTCAACAATTTCTACTTCATAACTTTAGAACACAAGTTAGTCAGGGTTACAACGTTAATATTACTACCTATGTGTGGCATGTCCTGTCTCATCATATCGTTGTGTTATGTTATAAATATGTACCCGTGTGATGTTACCACGCGAGTATATGACTATTGCACAGGTGTAATGCACAACCACAAAACAGACCAACAGAAAGAAATAAAGAATAGAAAAATAAAAAATTGTCGCTTTTATTTTTTCTTTTAACGTAAATAATTATATTTATGGTACTGAAAATATTGAATATCAATTTTTATAAACAAAGTTCGTGGATTCATTTTTCTATAATTCATTATTTTATTAATATTTTAATTTGTTTACATAAAAAAATTGAGAGTTTTCAAAAATTCCGCAATCTTCAATATCATTTATGGTGAAAAAATTTTTTTTTCGCAGTATTACTTTTTTAAAAGAAAGGGTTGTTCCATTTTACATTTCAGAACTATAGCAGAAAATAAAATCATATTTTCTAAACATTATGCATTCCGAAATACGCAATACTAACAGCTGTAGTGCACTGCATCTATCATATTGTGGTAGCAATTGGGTAGATGCGGTGCTGCAGTAGCGCCATTTTTGCGCGAAATTTAAAAAGTCCAAGTTTAAGACCTCCATAGGTGATTTTTTTTAATTAATTAATTAATAGTTATTAAAACTTTCTGAAACACTTTTTTTTCTCTTTTTGTATTTTACCACAATAATCTTTTTTTTTTTTGATAAAGAAAATATAAAGTTAAACTTTAGGAAAACGAAAAGGTTAGAAAATCATTATTCAAATGATTTTTTCCAAAAATAAAAAATTTAACTACTTTATATTGTTTACAAATCACTTGAAAATCATTCTACAAAGCTTTAAAACTCTCAAAATTTTATTCTTTAATAGTTTTTTTATGAGGACATTTTTTAATTAAGACAGACCGACATTTTTTGGAGCGAAATATAAACTTTCTTTCAATTTTTATATCTTCAATGAAATAATTTTCTCTCAAGTCAACTGATTTTTGAGAGTTGAA